TCGCGCCGGCGCGAACGTTTATCTTCGCCGATGGATTCTCCGGGATGCATCTCGTCGCCGCGGCGGTAAAACACAACGTGAAATCATTCTCGAAGCGACCATTTCACCGACGTCATGAAACACGGACGAACAATGAAACGCTTATCTTTCTGACCGCCTTTTATCTCTGTTTATGTACGTTACTATGTTGCGTGACTGATAAAATTTCAGTCGATCAGTTAATTATACGCAACGCGAAGCCAAAACAAAGACCACAGTGGGTGAATTTTTATGGTGAGAGTAAATTAGAGTAAATTAAAACAGACACCAGAAGTATTTTCGGTAAGTAGAATACACGCTATTTTGGGATACCCTTGCACTTGAACCCTATGACGATCCTTGGCTGTATACCGAAAGAACGACTTTGTTAAACTATCTAAACAAATCTGAAAATAATAATTATGTGGGAATTAAAACAAAGAAATTAAACAAACAAATGAGTCACACGCGATTGTCAGTGCATGAATTAGTAAATAATATGATTAATTCTTAAAATTACATTTATTTTAAAATCATATATTTCAATTCTTCTCTGGGTTATCCTCAGTGAACAATGTTTAAAATTTTAAAACTTTTCTAATTTTAAACATCAATATTATTCATTGAGGATGGCTCGAAGAGAAACGTATGATTTAAAATAAATGAAACTTTAAGAATTAATCATATTGTGAATTGTCTATTAATTTGTACACTGACAACTACGTATGATTCTCATTTGTTTGTCTAACTTTCTTGTTTTAATATCGAGAATCTATAGATTGTTATGCTAATTATATGAAACATTCAAGTTGATTGCTAGAATATCAACTTTTTATAATATTATTCATTATGCTTGAGCGTTCTATAATTATCTTGATGATTCATGAAAATTATTTTCTGTATCTAAGTCCTAATCTATAGATAAATTTTTAAATACTGGAGCAAAATCGAATTCTTTTCGTACATAATATTATAGAAAATCATAAAGAAGATACGTTACGTAATTTACTTTTGTGATAAGACTTAAGATGATTATATTTCTCTTGTGTGTGTGTTTGTTATTAAATTATTTTATACTACGGCGATTAATAATAATATTACTAATAATATAAGTCTATTGTCAATGCTTCTGATGTTATCCCTTATGCTGGCGATAAGACCGAAATTTAATACGGACTGTTTGCAAAATAGCATACAGAGCTATCGTGCCGTAAATTGAAGGCTCGCGACCGCTGTAATACGGCTCGTTAAGTATGGTACGCAAAGTAATACGAGCCTTAATAACGAGCGCGGCGCAGAAAGATCCGCGACAAAGGTCTCTTCGACGTGAAACGACAATCGTCAAGATTAACGGGCCGAAATGAATTGACGACAATCAACTGTCTCATAGTTATCAAATTATGAGAAACGAGACTCGGCGAATCCGACACCCAGTGGAAACATTCGAGCGTAAATAACGAACTCCATCGATTCTGCTGCAACGGTTCTTCGATCGCCAAGAACGGAGATGTTTAATCTTCTGTCGTTAAAATACTACCGACGTGAAGACATTCGATAAACGTGATATCGAATATCTTGCTACAAATTTAATATCACTAAGAGAAATATAATTCATTTACAATACCTAACGTAACTCGGTATAATTATTTATTTCATTGAGAAAAATATCTGAGAAAATGGACGAATCAGAAGATTCTGATTATATCAATCAGAATTTCGATTATCTCGACTAGAATTCTAGTAGGTTTAACCAAAAACATTCTGTTTCTAATCCTTTTTCAACCAGAATTTTAATTAATCCAGCTAGTCATTTTTCTCAGTGTTTTCATACATTCGAAAAAAATTTACTAAATCTTAGTACATATATCTTTGAATAATATTAAGTAAACATTTACTTACAATAAATAAATATTTACTCAATAAATAAGAAGATAGTTAAATTAAATTAATAGATTTTATATAAAATAAATATATGTTTATATTCAATAAATATTTATATCTAGAAATATTCAAATGAATATTAAAATTTAGTATTTTTTTCAGTACACAAAAAGAATGATTTTGAAATTTATATAGATATAGATCTAAATATAGAAATAACTTTATTGGATTACTATCAAAATAATTATATAGAAAACTCAAGTATGATATAACAATATATACATACTTATCATTATTATTATAATAGTAATTATAATTATAGTAACGTAATTAAAGTTACAAATATCAAAAATTTGATTCAATATACTTATAAGAGTTATTATTATTATACTTGTTTCTAGTTAATCGATGTTGAATTATGACAAAAAATTTCGACATTTTTATAGCGACCAGCTGTAGCGTCCTACATAATTATTTTGGTTCAACATAATTATTTTCAAATCTGTATCTAAATTTGTACATACTTCAGCAAAACTGTTCTTTCCGTGAGAAACCACCTGAAATTACGCTGTTTTGCAACTAATGTGCAAAGGCTCACGAGCTCGACGTTACCCTTTTCTGTCGTCTTGTTTGTCGTCCTAAGAAGTTTCACGGGATACGCAATGCCGCGATATAAATTATATTTAACCGAATAGCTAGCGCAGAGCTCCCGCAGCGTTTCAAAGGAATATATGGGAACGCCTCGGATGAGATGTCCAAAACGTAGTTTTTGCGGGCTTTCCGAGCCACTCGAGCTACGCCGAACTTAGCGTACAAGAGAGCCTACAGCACCCGTCGTCTTTCAAATAGCGTCTCAAACCAAACAAACATTTGAGATTTAGTTAACCAACTATGCTGTGAATTGCCGCGCAACGCATCCGCGTCCTTCTCTGGATTGCAATTTCATAATGCTTTGTGCACATTCAGAAACGATAATTAACGTGGGAATCTCGCGGTTTCAAAAAGCATTGTAATATCATAAGCATAATTCAATATCGATTAACTAGAAACAAGTATAATAATAATAACTCTTATAAGTACACTGAGTAAATTTTTTGGTATTTTTGTAACTATAATTATGTTAAATTATAATTACTACTATAATAATAATGATAAGTATGTATATCTCTAT